TTTAATAAGCTCTATATAATAGTTATATACGCTATTTAAAATAATATAAAACGTAACCCGGATATCGTTTTAGTAATATTTTAAGTTAAACTCGAGGGTAGAGGCTTAAATAATAATAAATATTTTATAATATTTTTATTTCTTATAACTTTATACTATTTACGTAAAGGCGCTCCCTATATTTTTTTACTTTTTACTCCTTATTTCCTTATTTTAGTTTTCTATTTCTCTCTTATTAAAACTTATTATATAACGACCTATTATAATATAATTTAAATATTTTAGTTATATAAATTTTAGAAAGAGTAATATAAATTAAGTATAATTATTCCCTTACTCTTTTTCTTTTCTAAGCTAATAATTATTTTTAAAAATATTATTATTTACTCTACTAAAAACCGCTATAATATATTACTATTTTTATTAATAAATTACGGACTAAGAGTTTATTAATTTATTTATATCCTGCTATAATTAGCCTCGTTAACTTAATAATATACTATTTATTATAAACTAAAGTATTACTATACTACGGTATTTATATAATCTTATTAAATAATAAGTTAACTTAACTAATATAAAAATTAACATAATTAATGTTACGGTATTTAGATTAACTATTAGAAATATAGCTTTTTCTTTTATCTTATTACGGTAAATAACTAAAATAAGGTAATTTTTATAAACTATATAAGTAGTTATATATAATCGAGGTCTTTTTATATAATACTTATATAAAAATATATTATATTAAAATTAGGATCTTTTAATTACCCGGACTATTAAATCGCTAGCGAAATTTATTAACGTTATTTAAAAACTAGCTTAATAATTTTACTCTTAAACTAATTTAAAAAGAGCTATAGTACGTTTTAAAACTCGTAACTCTATTATTAAAACTCCTAATATAAGTCTTAATAATAGTAGCTATTATATAATATTATTTATTTTTATATTTTTTTGCGTTATATTAGTATTTAACGAATTCTTAATTTCGAATATTATTTAATAGTCGGGATAAACTAAATTTAAACTAATATATTTAATACTTATATTTAAAATATAGATAATCTAGTCTTAGTAATACGTAATTAATAAACTATTCTAAGTAAAACTTTAGAAATTAAAAATATAAACCGGAGTATATTTAGGTTTTATAAGAGCTAATTTATAAAAATAGTTACGTAAATATAATTATAGTAGTTCGTTTATATATCGCGGCTTATATTAAAGCTTATAATAAAATTAATCAAAATATTTATTAAAGTTTATTTTATAGTTATAAACTATTCTTAGGCTTTTTAATATAAACGGCTAGCGGTTATATATATAAGTAAGTATATTTTTTTAAATAAATAAATTTCTCGCTATTAGTTTTAAAAATATAAAAGTAATAATAATTATATTTATTATAAACCGGACCTCGCTATAGGTAGAATATATTACTATATAAGTAGTTATAATAGTATTAGGGTCGTTTATAATATTAATACTCTTAAGTCTATTTAGCTCTCTTATTAAGTTTTATATATTAATACTACTAATTACGTAGGGTTAGGGTTAGGGTTAGGGTTAGATGTGATTGGATTCCACGGGAGGAGATAAAAACTGATGAGCAACAAGAAAGTCCGACACGGTCCTGGTTCGAAAGAACGACAGAAGTGTTTCGCCTTGAAGGCTCATCAGGGACATAAATACTTGTTGGGTAAGTAGCACGCCAAGCTGTTGGTTCCCTTTAAGCATGAGTCGGAGGTCTGGTCCCTCCGATTGCTGTCTGGGTTCCTGCAGCTGTGCCGTTCACCTGCATTCCAACAATGCAGAGTGGTGGGCGGCGGTTGGTTAAATACGCGCTGAACCTGCAATCCGCCGGTGGGTCGTCGTACGATGTTCCACCTACTGTGGGCCTGCCCCACCCGGAGTCGGTGCAATGGTCTGGCCGTCGGGTCAACACGGACATTCCACAGGGGAAAGCTCCGGTCTAAAACTCCGGTCACGTAATCAAGGCGGTGGCTCGTGCGCCGAGGCACCGGATGAAAACGGAGGCCTTTTCCGAGACAAGCTCGGGCCAGGTCTTCTGCAAAGCTGACACCGTCTGGTTAGGCGGTAGAGGTTCGGGTTAGGGTTAGGAAAGAGGGCGGGGTATAAGCTTGATCCTCTGGGGCCGGCATCTCGTGCCGCCGTTTCCTTAGCCCGGCATAATTTTTTCGGAGTGGACGGTATCTCGCGGCAGTCAAAAACTAACTCTTCCATCAAGGTTGTATGGCACCTCCCCGTCCGTTCGCGAACTTTGCAGCGCACTACTAGAGGCGGTTTGGCAGTTTTTAAGGGCGCATCCCTGCGGCCACCTCTTTGCAAAGGCAACTTCAAACTTCCAAGGCTTCCGACTTAGGAGGCTGTCGTAGCACGACCTTGTTCCATGCAGAGATCTTATCGAAGGCTCTCTGTTCGTCTGAGGGATTTGATGTGGGCCATCGAGGGAAGGTGGCAGAGTGCCATTCTTGCTCCAGGTCTGTCTCATCGTCTTCAGTACGCCCGAACATCCACGTATTCCCATACTTCATCGTATGACGAAGGTAGCATCAAGGGTAGTCCTGGGCGCGACTCTTTCCGTTTCCAGAGTAGAGCCGGTCGGTCCTTGTAGTCCACCATATGTCGCCATCGTGATAATATGTCAGCCGGGTATCCTCGCCGGCTCAATGCTGTCATGAATTCACGAACTCTCTCCTCAAAGAGTTCTTGGGTGGAATTGATTGTCATGAAGCGAGTCAATTCTGCTTTAACGAAGGCTCGTTTGACCGTTTCCGGGTGTGCAGATGACCAGGGGATATACTGATGTTTGTTCATACGCTTGCGAAAAACCCGAGATTGTAACCCCGCGGATTCTTGCCCTTGCCGGAAGAAGAATTCTACGTCTAAGAACGGCGTCGCTTGGCGAGATGAACGAATTTCCCAGGAGATAGCGTAGGGCGCAAGGTGTGGAGTGAACTCCGACAACCACTTCTCCAGGTCCTGTCTGGGTCCTTTGAAGATGAGAAAAATGTCGTCAATGTAGCGAACATAGAACCTCAAGCCGGTTCGTGACATGTTCAGCATCTGACTTTTTCGTTCCTTGAAGCCAAGCGAAAGATTTGCGAAAGCTGGGGCGCAAGAGGTGCCCATAGTTACGCCTTCCGTTTGGTGGTACAAGGTCCCATCAAACTCAAACAGGTCATCATAAGCTGTCCGGGAATGGCACAGAGGAGCAGGAGAAAATCATTCGTCAAATCTCCAACGATGCGTCTGGCCAGGTTTTGGGCCCAGAAACTCGGGCGGAAGTCAATCCTGCTGGCCTCGAGCCATCTTACCACGACGTGAAAGGGGTGAGTAATTACAGCTGACTTTTAAGTTTCTTGATTCGGAATATTTCCCCTGATGATTCGATAGGTATACCGGGAGCATTATGACAAGTTGGTGGAGTTGCGGCGTCTATACGATCCTCAAAAGCGCTTTCAATCGTTTTTCTAAGTAGTTTCCTTGGGAAATTTCAAGCAATCATGTTGTCTGTGAAGAGAATTGAGTCTTTCTCAAGTTTAGTTGATCTTTATCTAGATCTAGATCTAAGTAGGACTAATACCCTACTTTGTTCAAGCCTCATGATCGAAACTTCGTGCACGTAAGTCCACAAAGTGAAATTCCTCATATTGTGAAGGAGGATTATGAGGGGCCAAAATTACTACACGATGAACATATGCGGAAGTGAGAGCTCGTCGCTGTGAATCACTGAGTAGTGCTCTGCTGAATCGCTTCAAGTGTGACATGCAGAGTCGAGTCAGGGGTGGGGACGGGCTTTTGACTCGCACCCTCGGCTCACGACTTTATAGATGCTGACTTCTCAGTGGCGTCACGAAGCCCGAGGAGCGAAATGGTGTTGGTTTCGTTGCATAAATATGACTGATCATACCCAGCGTTTTGACTTGGAGCACTGAGACCAGTATCGTTCTCAGAAGAATCGGAACCGCCTCGCCTTTCAAACGACAACTTTTATAATGACTTCAACGTTCGCGCTTAGACCCCAGCCCTAACTAGACGCTGACAAATTCTCACCAATCATGCAGACCCGAACAGCAAGTTGCGGAACTCGCCAAGATCGAGGGCCATGTAGAGGAGGCCACTATCGCAAGCGTCTACGATCAGCTGAAGCCTGTCGCTCCAGAGCTGCTAGTCGGCCAGTGGGAAGGAGGCAGTTTCGATACGGGACATCCCACGCATTTGCAACTTCGCAACTTCAAATGGGCGGGTAAAGACTTCCGATCTGTCGATGATGTAGACCCAATCATGCGATACGAAGAAGACGGCAAACGAACATGGTTTTCTGACTACGGCCATGCGCAGGTGAGTGCATCTATTCTGGGCACTTGTCACTGAAGATATAGCTAAGAGGGATATCAGGTTCGAGAGGTTAGGTTCAGGGGTGTTGTGACTGCGGCAATGGTTTATGACAAGTTCCCCATCATTGACGCGTTCCGTTATGTGGACGAAAACACTGTGATCGGTGCTATGGACAACAAGGATCTTCAGCACTCTGGGACATACTACTTTTACCTGAGAAGAAGAACCCAGAGCAAGGCCTAGCTCATTAGACTATAAACCTACTTTATGTAGATCATCCTTTAGTCCGGGGCCCCGCAGACGATCCCCAGAGTACAAATACCACCATAGACCTGGCGCGTGAAAAAGTTCGCGACTACTCAATTGTTCTAGTGAAATGAGTGGCTGGTCATTTAATTAGTTTCAAAAAGGAAACCATCTCGTACCGCGTGCTACCGAGGATCCGAGGTCATTTGCCTCTAACGCCTTTGTTCCCCCGCATTCTCATCACAACTCGTCGGACAAACCCCACCCACGTCACCCCGAACCCACCGTTTCATGCGATTTCTTCGTCTGCTGAGTAACAGGCGAACTTCAATTTGTCGCATATTCACTGCATGACACTCAGCTTCAATACTCAGAAACAGGTTGAAATGACTGGCACGCCTACGACTTCTTGCACACAGGATACGGCTGCTCGATCACCCGGGCGGACTTCACAGACTGCTGCAACATCTCAAAGGCTCAAGAAGAGAGAATACGATCGCAAAGCCCAAAGAGTTGCTCGCGAAAAGACGAAGAACCGAATAGCTCAGCTCGAGAGCCTGGTCGAGAAGTTGAGCCAGCAAGATGACACCGCTACTACAGCATCGCTCATGGCGGAGTTGTCAAGGGTGACTGAACAGAGGAACAAACTCATGAGATGTCTCAAAACAACTTCTTCTTTGTTTAACGATCACGTCAAAGAGGCTGAATCATGGGGCTCAACGGGGATGATTTGCGACGTGCCTTCTCTGTCGAAGCCGCCATCAGCTAAAGAGGTTTCGCCGAAACATCCGAGCCCGGAATCATCAACGTCTCCAGCATATTCATCGGTCCCTGTCTTCGATAGCTCCGCCGATGAGGTCCTGGAGAAAGAAATGGGGGATGACATGGACAGTTTCATGGACGAATCTTCACTTGATATCAGCCAATTTTTGGGCGACTCAATGTTTCAGCCAGACTTCACAACAACCGCCCCATCGAAAAACATGAGTGAGCCACATATGAGAGGCGTATCACTGGACACATCCACATCAAGAAAAAGTCAGCAACTCACAACAGAAACACGCCGAATTGCCTCTAAATGCCACTGCTCGTCAACCAACAGACTTCGACGACTCTCGGATGGTTCACAAGTCAGTTGCAATAACTGGAAAGCGGGTAATGAAATTCTTCAAGAGCCATTTGCTCTACCCGACGCTTCAATACGACTGGAAGGAGAGACAGTCGAGGACGTTCCTGTTCACGCTGTGCTTCATGGTTGGGATAGCTTGGCGCACACAGGCAGGATGACGCCTCTGTGGAGAAAGGTTCGCCAACTTGATGAACTTTGTTTCTCAGCATGTGGACAGGCAGAACGTTTGGCCGTTCTGTTCATAATCCATCTTCTTATGAGGGCATATGCCGATCCGACATTGGTGAAGTCCGCAGTCGTACCAGTGTGGTATCTGAAATCGTAAGTGCAATGAATGTTGTTGAGTCCTGAATATGACCATGGGCTAACCCTATGAAGGCCTCTGCAGGAAATTACTCATGATCCATCAGCTGATTACTTTGCCTGGTAAGTTGGCTCGATTCTTAGCAAAGAGCATGATGCTGACTTGTAGATGCAGGCCAGCTTTAAGGTACCGATTTGCTATTGCGCCACACCGGTACTGTAGCAATTTGTTCTGGCACATGTTCAAAGAACACTTGCGCATAGTGTGGCCGTACGACTTTCGTGACTGCTATATCAGGAATATGCAACTGGGAACATACGGTCTCTCGCCTCTCTTCAAAGAGAAGATCCATGACTTGCGATCTTGGACAATGGCACCAGACTTCTTTGCCCAATTTCCCGAGTTAATGCAGGATATACCAAAGTTTCCAGGCCAACCGTCGCCAACAGTCGCTCTACCATTCGGCTTGACGCTCTCGCGTGATGTGGACGGCTCGAAGGCGGCAAGAGATGATGACGAAGAGAGAAGTAAATCCCCCAGAACCGAAAACAGCACGAGAGATCATATCTTATTTCCCTCATCTTCTCATGTAAGCGGCTTGTTTTTGAGCGAGCTCGGCATCGACGGCGTGACGGATTGCTTCGACTTCTGATGTTTCGGGTATCTAGATACGCCTCTGATATCCTCGGGGCCTTTGCGATTGGGGCAGCATAGTGGCGCAGCAAGTACGCGTCAGTACAGTCCCTAGCATAATAGAGCAAACATCTATGGAAATAACCCGCTCTAAGTCAGTACCCAAATATCCTGATGTTCATTTCCGCTGCCGTACAGATAGACTACAGAGTGATGGATCGCACTAGCAAGGGTGGCCCTGCAACACCAGCACCTCCGCGGGCCCCCGAGTCTCCACCGGATCCGAGTGTGCGATGAGTCCGACTCTGTCGCACAATGAGACGAAACCTTAAATCACTGGTCAAGCCTCACAACGGGGCAAATTCTGCCGTACAAAGCCCCTGAAATGCAGCCTCACAGTTTTCGTCATTCTGGGAACGGCCGGGAGAGCCTCCGCTAGAAAGAACTGCCGACGGCTCCGTGGAGGAGGTTGTCAAATTTACTACTACCTCAGAGACTCCATGAGGGAAACCTCGTTTCCTTTTTCTCTGTCGTCGAACCACCGTCAGATCATGTATTCAGGCAAGATGTTGCTTAGCGTACTTCTCTTGAGCATCGGACTTGCAGATGCTAGGCCATCTTCAGATAGCATCTCCGAGGACCCAAGCCTCCGAAGCGTACAACTGCAGCATCGGCAAATCAACGACACGATAGTTCCTATACGGCGAGACTGTCCCTTTAGTCCCTGGGATGAACTTTACATAACCGATTTCCTACAAGAGCATTTCAACGACTTATCAACAACTGATCACTGCTGGATCATCAAGGGTGTAGCAGGACTACACGAACTACTACAGAGAAACATCTCAGCTAACCCCCTGCTCAACGTCACGATACCAACCTGTATACAACTCAACGTTACGTCAAAAGGGAACGCCTTCTCTATTGACTTCTCAGATGACTCTTACAAGGTGAACGGGGTCGACGAGGATGACTTCGTTTTATTGACCTATGTGCATCGTGAGTTGCCTCATTTCCCCCTAAAGTCTATCATACCATGTATCTGACTGGCTCTAGTTGTATGCATGACTGCAGCGTTTTTCTTCTGTTACCCCGTTATTCTAGTACTAGCTTCAGCACCGAACTTGTGTATCATGATCGATCGCGCACTCCAGGAGCCCACGAAACGAAAGTTAGAACGATGGCAGACAATCTTCACAGTCCTCCTCTTCGCTCCTCTGTCCATTGCAGGAGTAGTCACCGGTATAATCGCAATGGGAGCCTCTGACCACGCAAGAACAGAGCACGGAGTAAGCTACCCCTCCTCGAACGCTTGCAAGTCAGAAGCTGACCCTGATCCTTTTCTAGATCATCGGTTACATTACCATTGGCCTCGCCGCAATTTCAGTCCCCCTCTATCTCTACCAAAAAAGGCTCAGTTCCCGCCCAGATCTTACCTTCTACATGTACCGCCGCCTCAAATTCTTCAACGCCCTCGACTTCCTCGTCTGCCAAGCCATCCTGCTCATCTCGGGCTTCGCCCTCCCCGACGGCATCGACGACTTTGGCATCATGACGATTTGCGGAACGAACACGCTCTCTTCGTCGCTCCTATTCTCTCTGGGCATGATTGTTTCGTTTGTGTGGAACTGTGCTATGGCTACAATGACGGTGCAGTGGCTTCTCGAACGGAGGGTTCGGGGTGGGAGTCTTCGGGATAGGGCCCCACCGTGGATGCTCAAGATTCTGCGGAAACGGTCGGATTCGGATATGACTTTCCAGACGTTTCAAGAATCTCGTTGAGAATGGTATATCGTTAGCATCTTATGCTTATGAAGGGAGGTTCGAACAGTGGCGACCATGTTGGAACAGCGATAGATCATCTTTGCTTTACATTATCTCAGTGAAAGGCTTGCCATTACCCGCCTTGTAGATGGGACTAGCTTGTCCATGGCCGATGAATATAGCTGCATGTGCAACAATACTCTGTTCAATTTCTCGTACAAAGGGATTGGACCTTCATCTCATGTCTAAAGGCTTCTACCAGTTGAAGTACTTGGAACTCGGCAGCGGGGCGCGGTCCAGCTTGAAGTACCCAGGCTGCAGCTTCTGGAACACCTCCTTGGGATCATACTTCTTCGCGATGCTCTTGAGCTTAGCCTTATTATCCGCACCGTATCCACTGACAACATCCTGGAACTGTGCGGCGTAGTTCATGTAGATGTAGTCGTTCTCCAGCCCCCGCGCCTTGGCTTCATCGTCGATTCTTTCCATAACTGTTGAGGCAAAAGAGTAAATCTTGTCGTCGTCTTCTTCGTTACTCCACATTATGGAGAGTAGAATGATGTAGAACGGGCCGTCTTCGACATTGAGACCCAGTGCATTGCCCCCGTTCTGCTGCATGTGCTTCAGCATCGGAATGGTGATGCCCTGGAACACCAAAGTGGGAAGAATGCCAGGCAGGTCCGTCACGGCAAGAACCTCCTCAAAGTAGATTTCCTGAGCGGCATCAACGAGTCCCTTGTCGGCCTTGCTGCTAATGACGGAATAGATCTCCCGCGGCCCCGGCGGTGAACCCTCGGCTCCTTCCGCAGCCCAGTCAGCAATGATGCGGTTCTGCGTCGTGTCCGAAATGGCGGGAATAGCGTTCCATTCGGAAAAGATGTCGGCCTCGCCGCCATCCGGCTCGGCATAATACAGCGTCGGGAGGGAGAGTTTGGTGCCGTTGAAGTAGGCGTATACGTGCCACAAGCCAGCCTTCGGGTCCTTTTCCGCATTCGCAATAAAGTTGGCGTAAGCCCCAGAGAGCGCAGGGAACGAATCTTCGAGATAGGTACGGGAGCCACCCCACATCTTACCGCCTGGGAGCGAGATGGTCCGAAGGTTGAAGCTGACTACGAGGCCAAAGTTGTTGCCGCCGCCACGCAGGGCCCAGTACAGGTCCGGGAACTGGGTGCCTGATGCTCGGATGATAGCACCGGTAGCAGTGACGACCTGTTAAAATCAGCTTGTGGTCAGAGTCTCTCCCCAGTGAACTTACATCGTAGCTCTCGACATTATCACAAGCCCAGCCGTGGAGGTTAGAGAAGTAGGATATGCCACCTATAGTTGCATTAGCTCATGCCGTTCTACGCTCGACGCGTTGTGCCAGGGGTATGCCGTGAGGAAATCGCGAGGAAGTTCTCAAAAGATGCATGTCCGGGCTTGGAGTGTGTAGATCAGAAACGTACCTCCAGTAGTTAGTCCTCCGACACCAATGTCGTATATCCGACCACCGATGACATTCAAGTCAGACTTTGTAAGCTCGCGGTAGACGTCGCCCCAGATATTGCCAGGTTGGATCGAAGCAATCTTCTTGTCGGCAGACAGCGCGATGCTCTTCATGTTCTGGAATGAGATCGTGATCCCGTCCTGAGCGTTGGACGCACCAGCCATTGCGGCGTGGCCACCGCTTTTGGCAGCGAATGGGCACTGCGTGAGACGGGACAGTAGAACCACGACGGCTACTTGCTCTGGCTTCGACGGCTTGAAGACACAATAAGGGCTGACCTGGGCTTGGTTCCCAGACCAGTATGAGCTGACGAACTCAGTGTATGCAGGTTCATTTCTCGTTTCGACAGCATCATCGCCGTAGACAAATTTCAAAGTGCCACACTACGATAGAGAACCAAACGTCAGTCACCTTGAAAGTGGCGTTGCGGAGGGTAGACGACTCACCGCAGCGGAGCAGCCTATTTCCGACCTCTTGTTGAAGCCGGTCATGTTTGGAATCTCAGAAATGACAATGCCTAGCTCATGAAGTGCGTCTACAACATTGAAGTTGGCAGGCTCCGTCGGGCTGATGTCAGCTGCGAGGGCGTGAACAACGTGGCCAGCTGCGAAGGCAGCTGCCGCAAAAAGCTTAGGACTTAGCATGACTTCGTTCAAACGTCGCCTCGATGACTTGGAGACAAATTTCAGCGCGAACCGGGAATATCGATGGCAGGAAACAAAGTTATGAGTTTATTCAACGGGTCAAGCTGCTACTTTATAATATAACAGGTTCGCGGTCAAGCCGTGAGCAGTATGCAGGCAGCTTGTGCTGACTGCAGAATCCTAATCTGCAATCTCACCGCATGTACGATACTGGCGAACCCCATTCTTCGCTGCAAGGGACGCCTGCAGAAGTCCCATCGCCCTATGAAATCCGGTCTTGAACGAGAGTAAGCAGCCACAGAGGAGGCATTGAGGCATTGCTCAACGGCTGGGCGCTGCTGTTGTCTTTCGATTGATTGAGAATGGCAGAATATCAGGCTGCGAGGCGCCATACGTAAGCAATTCAATGAACCATGTTTGGTGATATGTTCCTTCGCGTGTTATTGCCTGTCGTTCGCAAAGAATCGTATCGTGGTCGTTGGTGGGTGGTCGAATCTTCGAAGGTGCTTCTGAACAGATTACAGAGTATCCCTACCTCGGTTAACACATGCAGAGCCAAGATACATGGGGGCCCTTTTCGCTATTACCGATGTCGCTGTAGGTGTGATCGTGAAAGAAAATAAGCCCGAAAGCAGCCAGTTGATAAAGCAAAGAGAATGCGACTGTTGTTGTTGTTGTTGTCACTGACACTGGTCAGAGCTACGCTAGCAGAAACTTGCCTCCATTCTCGCGGATGGAATACGACTTGCATCAGCGGCCAGCCATCCACGAGAGGGATTTGGGGCGGGCGAGAAGCAAGAACTCCGATCCTATTCATGCACCAATTTTGTCAAGCACAAGGCTAACGAGGGCGTACGTAAGACCTCGCGTCTGTGTCGCTTGACACCCTTGTATAGAATCGATGAGCTGTCACGGATTCTCGGTCACTGGACTAAGCCCATATAAACAAGTCGTGCGAACAGTGTAGTAGAGCTGGGAGGAAGTCTCGATAGTCGATGGATACAATGAAAGTGGCTAGTTCTTTCGACTTTGCGCGCGTTTAGCTTTCAAGCATATACATGAAGGTATCTGCTTACGAGACCGATGGAGTGCGACTGTGGGATACGATAGAAATGATGAGTTACGACTGAATGTTTGCCATAACTCTGTCCGCAGTACCACTGAAGAAGCCAGCATATTCTGCTCGACATTGACCGAGCATCTATGGTATCATCGATGGATGGCCAAAGGCATCAATATCCCCCGTCGTTCAGCTAGGTGGGAGTGGCATAGCACTACGATCTCGCTTGAGATGGAATGCTGATTTTCGGGTGGTGAAAAGGGGTGTTCATTATTTCGCTCGTGTGTGAAGTAGGCGGCATACACGATCATCCTGTGGCTTTTATCAATAGAGACTAGCCGAGAAGGATTGTCAGCTCAGTAACGTGATGTCCCTCTGTTTAAGGACGACAAGCCATCCGACATCAGTCGTCGGAGATTTCGAAGCGGTGTGGCATCCCTTCGCCGGACCGAACATCGGAGGATTGATTGAGCAGACAAACTCCAATCATAACTAGGACCTCATCATAACCTCACCTGGAACAGAGCCGGTAGACGTCTGGAAAAAGCCAATGGCGATGCAAGAATCTGGGGGAGGCGTTGAAATTGGGATCGCACTAAGGCATTCCAGCCTTCGTGGCGACCATCCGTGGGAAGCCTCAACGTTGAACCGTCCCGACTCATTGGCAGCTGTCAGACGCGTCTCTTGTGACATGAAGGATGCACCGTCTGAAAACCATGGAATGGATCCCGCGTGATGCGCCCTACCCAACCTTTCTGGCTTACTTCTGACCCTTCAACTTCACACAAGGTGACGTTGGCGGTCAACATTGGGCGGGTCATGAGGCCAAGCATTGCCAGGCGTGGCGGCGGAGTCGCACGGGACAGGGAGTTGACTAGATGGTGATTGGCGTGGTGTTGAGGGCGGGATGGCGGAAGTTGCCAACGCGGTTGGGGTAGCGTGTCTCGCTTTAGGGAAGAATGTCTCGATGGCGGTTCCAAGCTTATTAGGTTATTAGGATGTCTCTGCCCAAAAACCAAAGTGGTGATCCGGCCAAGTGCCAGGTGACGCCATGCTGGACCCAGATCCAGCCGGGACAGTTCACTATGCATGGAGGCGCAGAAACTATGGGGAGCTTCCCCGCCCTGGGCCGGGGCTAGTTGCTTGAACTGTGAGCTTTTGATCTCGTGAAGGGCTGAGGGTGGTCAGTGAAGATGGTGGAAGTTCAATATGTCGACGACGGTATAAATAGAGGCTCGATTCTTGAGGCTTGTGGTCGAAGGAGTGGCTAAGCAATTCGACTGTGTCTCGGTGTATGCATCGACCAGGAACCAAGAGAGCTTTCCCAGCAGCTTCCCCGGATCATCAGTGACGGCAGCCAGGTTGCAGAGACAGGAACCAGAGAAAAAAGGGGGCCGAAAACAGAGGTGATCCCTGTCATCGCATCGCTGATCGTCTGTTTACAGTGCCTCTTGTAGTGCTGGATTTGGTGCCGTGGACCCATCTGGACTGCGTGCGAGTTGGGCCTCAGCGCGGGTTCCTCCACTGCAAGCGTGACCGATGCGTCGTTGATCTGCAAGCCGGGCAAAAGACTCCAGCAATCGTCCATCCCGCAGGCTGGGCATCTGGGCATCTAGGCACAAGCGGGAAAGGGCGTCGTGGGCAGAGACTCCGAGAGGTAAACGGGCGGGCTTGGACGGCACGGCGGCACGCTCGGGCGGCTGAGCGGGTTGGAATCGGACTGAAAACCAAGGGACTCCGACCGATATTGGGCGGCTCTGCATCTCTCGGTGCATCAGAAATCGCAATAACGAGGATCCGGGCAAACGAACTGGGATAGCAGCAGCTGAAAGACGTAGGAAGCTTTGGGGTCTGGTGGTTCGAGTGTTTCCTCTCGCATCGACTTGCCCAGTAGAACAGGGTGGATGCCTTCACGGCGACAAGCTTGAGGTACGTGTTTCTGATTTTCTAGGTGTCTCTGAGGTGTATCGCAGTGTATCGTGGCGTATCGCATGGTTGGGGAGGGCGGCATTTGCAGGCAATCCCGCAACTGTCATCGGGGAGAGTTTGAGAGTTGTGAAAGGTGAGGCGAGGCGAGGGACGGTTGACGAATGGGAGGCCGTGGAAGCGGAAGCTCTGCCCAAGTTTTTTGCTCATGCTAACCGAGGAAGGGGGGGCGCCGACCAGACATCGAGACGTGGTTTCAAACAAGTCACCAATACTTGGGTTTGGTGCTGTCGCGATACGGCGATCCGAGTATTCGTCCCTTGTTCCGGGTCACTTGCTGTTGTGTTGTGAGGTGGTCTCTACTTCCTACCTTACGGTACCTCACAGGCTCACAGATACGTAGTGTAAGGTAGAGGTTGCCAGATTCACTCACGGACAGGCTCTGACTGAGCAAGAGCAGCACATGGTTTCTGCAGGAGACATCGGACACCGGACTTTCAACAAATCACCAATTGAGCCAGGCCAGTGAGAAAGCGTGTGCACTCTCCTGGCAAGTCGGCAAACGTGCATTCAAGGCCATTTGAGAACAGACTTCATCTCAGGCGCACATTGCATCTCTTCTTTTTTTCACTCCTCTCCCTCTTTCCTGCATCTTGCACTTGCCTTGGCATTTGTATTTTGCACCTTCCCTTCCCTTTGCACCTGCAGAAATCTGGAAGGAGAGACCGAAAAGATTAGAGACGAGAGACGAGAGACGAGAGACGGCAGAGACCAGACCAAGGGGTACGTACCCTTGTCGTCCTTTCCTTTTCCCCTTCCCCCTTCCTCCCCTTCTCGTCCTGCTCCTTCCTGCCCACTGCCCACTGCCCAGTCACTCCGCGCAGTCTTCAGGTCCGTACATGGTAGTAAGGTAACTCCACTACGACACCTGCCTGCTCTGCACTTGCTGTTGCACTTGCGACTTCCAGGTTGAGGTGAGGTGCTCTTGCGGCTTGCCTGCCCTGTTGCCCCAGCTGCTTTGGAAGGAAACCCCCTTGCTCCTGCCCGCCCTTGCTCTTCCCTTACGTCAGGGGCCGCCTCACCCAGTCAGGTAAGGAAGGGACCTGCGTACCTGCGTCACGGACAGCGCATCCCAAGCAGAGGAAACACACAGTCGCAGTCACGCAGATTTGCACTTGCACTTGCTCTTGCTTGGACGGGGGCTAGAAACGTCCCATCCTGGGGCATTGAGAAACGCGACACACTTTCCAACCCTCTTCCACGGCTTCAATGCAACCCTTCTCTTCTGCTTTTCCATCCTTCCCCTTCTCTTCCTCTCCTGCTACCTGTCTACATCTTTTCACCATCCGGCAGCTTGACATTGCCAATCACCACTACTTGCTGCCACGCGATCCATACAACCCACCGTATTACCTGCCCGCCGCCGCTCTGACATTGTTCCAGACCCCTCCAGATCATCATCTGTACCCCGATTCGCTGTCTTGACGCAACCTACTACCAAGTACACTACCATCCTACGACGAGACGGGAAGAAAAAAAATAGGGTCAAAAAAAGGGAGAGCTTCAGCTTAGCTCCCACACCACCCACTTTGCTCCCCCCCTTTAATCGCGACGAATTATCGGCGGTTCAAAAATACCCGACGAAACAGGACCCTCAAAACTTCGAGAAGAACAACACACATCGCACGAATTTAACATCTGCCTACTCATCTTAGCACCGCCAATTGCTATTTCCCACGTTTTGACGACCTCATCTCCTTTCGCATCAGCCACAATGGCTCTCCTCGACGCTGCCGCGCCGCCGGCGGGGGGCCCGACACTTTTCGGCATGTCCATGAAGCAACTTTCCCTCATCACGGTACGCTCTGAACGATTGCTCGCACCAAGCCTTGCGCAAAGGCTCCCTTCTGTATCGGCGAATACTGACAATGGCCTCGCTCTATAGCTCACTTTTCAAAACTCGGCACTGATTCTGGTAAGCCTTCTCATCGTCGCCATTTCCAGACACCAGCGCTGACCCGGCCGTGGTAGATCATGCATTACTCCCGCATCATGCCTCCCGTGGGCGATCACCGATACTTCACATCCACCGCAGTCTTCCTCAATGAGGTGATCAAGCTGTCCATTTGCTTGACCTGCTCCATTGCAGAGGTTTCGCGCACATTAGCACCGTCCACGCCGGCCACCGTCATCTTCGAGCAGATCTTCAACTCCGTGTTCTCGGGCGATGGGTGGAAGCTCGCAATCCCAGCAACACTATACACGCTGCAAAACACACTGCAATACGTCGCAGTCGGAAACCTGGATGCCGTTCACTTCCAAGTACTATACCAGCTCAAGGTGCGCGCAGTCACGGATTGATTCTCTCATCTCGGGGGATCTACCGGAACTAACAGTGTTCTCGTCGCAGATTCTCACGACCGCCGTCTTCTCCGTTACAATGCTTCGCCGCGCGCTTGGTATGAAGCGCTGGATCTCTTTGATCATCTTGACCTTGGGCGTATCCATTGTCTCACTTCCCCAACCTTCGTCCGCAAGCCATGCCGAATCGACGTCGGCCAGTATCCTCCTGCACGACACCACAGACCATTTCTTTCCTCGCTCCGTGCACGAGCTTGGTCAAGCTGCCGAGGGTGCGGCGGAGGTGGCCCGTGAGCTCACCAAGCGCGCCGCGGACGGTCTCGCGGGCGTCGGCGGAGAAATCGTGAAGCGGTCGGCCTCGTATCAGGGTATCCAAGAGGACCAAGACCCGTCACCGCTCATGAACTACTCGATTGGATTGACCGCCGTGCTCGTCGCCGCCGTCGCCTCGGGTCTTGCTGGAGTCTACTTTGAGAAGATGCTCAAGGACTCGGGAACCCATGCCTCTGTGTGGACGCGCAACATCCAGCTGTCGTTTTACTCTCTGTTCCCTGCTCTGGCAGGCGTTATCTTGATTGATGCGGAGGACATTGCCAAGCATGGTTTCTTTGATGGCTACAACTGGGTCGTATGGACCGCAATCGTATTCCAAGCTGTCGGCGGCGTGCTTGCGTCGTTGTGCATTAACTACGCCGACAACATTGCAAAGAACTTTGCTGCAAGTATCAGTATCGTTATCAGCTTTCTATTCAGCGTTTGGTTCTTTAACTTTGAAGTCAACTTCTCCGTAAGTAAATTTTCGCAACTCGCCATGATTCTTACATCTGACATTCTCAGTTTATTCTCGGTACCACTCTGGTTCTTGCCGCGACGTATATCTACAGCATTCCCGATCGCAAGGGCCGCCCGCCACCGATTACGATTGCAAGCTACGAGAAGGCAATGGTTGACCCGGCGTACACGCCAGCCGTCACCGATGAAACCAAGCTTAATCTTGACCCGCTCGATGCGGTCCGCAGCATGGGACTTTCGACGTCTAGGCCATCGTCGCCTATGCTGCACCACCACCGAGCGCCATCAGCTAGGGGCAAGAACCGCGACGACTAATTTGCATCACATCGTCGCTTCAATGACGTCATTTCGAAATGTTGTAACGTAAACTCGTTGACCGGAGTCGAGATGGGGGATCGGCTGGGGAGTACCATGACGAGCAACAAAAGGCAGGGTAATAAAAAGGATTGGAAGGGGGGGCTCGTTTTTTGTGCACCTTTTTTTTTTGTCTTCTCTCGGGTGGCATGCTCCGGAATATTTGGACATCCAGTCCTGGAATAGAGTCCGGCTTGCATGTGAGCAAACCACCCACATACCACACAGTATCATCAACAGCGATACCCGGCCAGACCGCAAGGTTCAGGCAACGGTGCATTGTATATCTGAGGCCCCTCTTAGGGAGCCGAGAGCGCGAGTGTTCATATTGCAGAGACTAGCAGCTGCATGCTGCGGACGAGCGGTACAGCGCTAGCCGCTCGGAGAATAAGAGATTCACATCGTTACGACTATACTTTGCGGCCGTGCAGTGCTTGATTATGTGACCTGTGTAGCAGAGGACGAAAGCGAGATTAATGCATCTGGCAGAGCATTTACTCACGATTACAACAAGTAATTATTTTGAGACTGCGTCATGCGGTCAAGCATTTGCATGGTTCCTAGGGCTCAGTAATCCTTTGCTACTCCATCATACTCCTTGAGGCTCTTCAAAAATAATGGACATGCCATGAGAATCTCCCTCCCAAAAACTGGCGCTCGATCACATACTTTCAACCGCATCAGTCTAGACTGTTACCTCCCCTGTTACATAAGTACCAGCAATCTCTTCGCAACTTGCCCACACGAACACCTTGTCGCCCTTGGCCGCTTCGATAGAGAACACGAGGTCTTTGCTCGGCATAAGGCTCCTGACTTTTCCCTTCCAGAAAAAAACCAGTCGGCCATCCGAGGTCTCGGCAGCCATTATAACCCAAGGTGTCGTCCCTTTCCAGACAGGAGCCTCCCGATTTGAGCAGCCTAGGATGGCGCGAACAATGACACCACTTTTCGGGCCCTCGTCGCGTTTGGGTATGTCCACAGCAAGTACGAGGCGTGGGAAGTGTGCCAAGCTACGCACAATCTTCTGACCGAATGGCGGATTCCGGGAGAGCACCCTCTCGATGTGAAAGAAGTCCATCTCAGCAAGCCGGCGTACGGTTCTGATGCCATGCTCGACGAGTGTGATCATCTTTTTCGGCCCAATATCGGGTACCTGAAGTAGCTCCGTCGCCAATCCCTCCTAGCTTTTGGACACAACGGCACGCCAGGTCTCGAGGGAGCGCCTCAGGCCGACGGCGTCTTTGCGACAACCCATGATGTCGGCGCAGGCACGCAGAACCTGACCCAGGATCTTTACTATGCGGGGTTTGTCGGACAAGAGCTTCTGCCTGGCCTGGAGGGAGAGGCAGTCGCCGTAGTCTCCGCCCGAAGCCTCACATTGGGCGACGAGGAAGACCTTGTGCCAAGGCTTGGTTAGGGTCTCTTTCAAGGGCCAGCGGGTTGAAGGGTCGTTGTTGATGTGGGAGAAGGCGACCTTTTCCAACGGATTGAAGGTGAAGGAGAGGAATTCTGTTGCGGAAGAGGCACAACGGAGGATCTCTTCGGGAGGCGGGCCGCGGGGAAGGGAGGCAAGTGCTCGGATTGTCGGAGAGGAGAGTGCGTGACGAAGCATGATTGCGTGGTGCTCTTGTGAGAGATCTGCTGTTGTTTTGGGGTTCTTTGAGGCCTGTGTGCTTTGCGAGGGTCGAGAAGCTGGTGTCGAAGACTGAGATTGAGGATGAGGGGCCTTGGAGGGTGTTGGATTAGGGGTAAGGAGGGGAGGCATCGTGAACGAATGACCTCTTGCTATCGCAGCCCAGCACTCTTGGATTTGCTATGGAGGCAGAGTTGGAATCGAGTTGAATAACGACAGTGATGTGAGGAGATGAAGGGATAGGGAAGAACTAAAGGACAACCAGACACCTTGATCCTGAGACGATCCTGGAAGGGCACCCAGCATCCTCCTTCCTCGAGCCTTCCCCGAGCATTTGAGGCTCTGTAGCTGCCCAGGTAGGTACCAAAGACTTATGGTGACGATGAGGCAGGTGTGCTCTTCCCATCTACAAGCTGCCTCATCACGTGGTGGTACCATAGACACCTACCTTACCTTAGGTAAGGTAGTACCTAGGTATTTCGAGGATCACATTACCTACACACAAGGAGTGCTACTTCCTTCTACACCGAAGATAAGTCTCGCATTGCGGCTGATTCGAACCAAAATTACGGAAGAAGGAAGTTGTCAGCCTCTCACGGAGTAACACGATGCCCGCTTACACTTTAGCACAGCATAATGGTAACATTCGTCCGCCAGAGTCTTGCTTACCTACCTTTCCCATCCTATCTTACATCAAAAGTTACCTTACTACGACGCAAGTAAGCCGGGTAGCACAACAGTTTCCTCCATGCACTTATTGCTCAAGTGCCAAAGTAAGGTAGACGCCAAAGACTCTAGTGGGGAAACGGGACTGGCCGGGGCTCAGCCGGCACTTGCGTTCTGCGGCCCGGGTTGACGCCGGCAGTCCCCGCAGTTGGAGTGGGTCCTCAGTAAGGTACCGCTACCTGAAGTTCTGCACCTTTTTCAGCTCTCCCTTGCCCAGCTGAACTACGCTCTGACTGGCTTGACTGGCGTGACGTGACTGGTTCGGTGACTTGTTTCCTATCTGGAAAGAATCGTCAGTTAAGCCATTTGTCTGGCCCGAGTTCTCGCACCCAGATGTCAAGTGACGAAGCTTTACCTTGCACATTCAAGGTTTTGTGAGACGGGGAGAATGACGTCGAGTGACACACGCACCAAGATAGTGGACCCGAGTGAGACAGGGCGTAGGTATCCAATTCGTGCAGCGGCATGTAAGTCAACAAACGCGGCGCCACGACAAACGCTCCGGGGAGCTTCCAGCCTTCGGGGAGAGCTTTTCTTGATCTGCCGTCTCGCCTTCCCATCGACTCCTCTGACTTGTGCCACATTCCTGCCTCGTTTACCAAGTTACACGTCCCCTGGACATGAACACCTGGTCACGGCATGTGGGTGGCACCCGCTGCGCCCCAGTCCCGCGCCTACCTTAGCTACCTACCTACCTTAAGGTACCTTAGGTATCTGGAGCTCTTATCTTATCGGTACCTTGGTCGTCATCCGAGATGGTCGCTTTCGCATTGTTTGTCATTGCTTCCATTGCTTCAACTCTGGCTCTTTACTCCTCGATCTATATACCTTTCGCACCTCGCAAACCTAGAAGTATGGCATTCAAGCCACTAGTGACAACTTGAATACATAATTCTTTGGTCTCTCCAGGTAAAGACACATTCTCTACCCCGCGGCTTACGCAGAAAAGCCCATGATGGATTCGTGATGGAGAAGTGGGTTATCCGATGAGAAGAGGGGTACCAATAGGTCACGAATACCGGCCCAATTGGGACAGCTCTGGCCCCCCGTCACGCAATCACATTGGCCTTCGGACGACAGCTGTATCGCCATGTCTTGGCTTTCTCTGTTCTGATAGGACCAGGCAACGCTGCCAGCGATAAGACAACAAGTCCCAGAAAGGTTGCATTGCATGGCTGCCTCTTCAAGGCTGAGCAACAACACCAACTGGCGCATACAGACAGACAACTGGATCCAATCCCCAAACTTGGAAACCTGTACTTGCCTCATTCCCAGCCCGCGTGTTCAGCAAGTCTCAAAGTGATACACGGCAGGCAACAGAAAGGCAGGCAGACGCCAGGTCACCTTTCCTCACCTTCACCCCCCCCTCGACTCCTCACCGAGCTATTGCCCATAAGAGGCCATCCCCCCGACGTCCTCAATACCATCTTCTCTTCTTCTTACATCCTCTCTCTCAACCTTCAACATCCCACACTTCTCTTGACATCCTCTAAACTTCAACAACTTCGCAGCCTCTACCAGAGTCTTTTCGCCAAGACATTCACTGAATATCCTGTCTTCCCATACCAACTCTGATACTACCTAGTCATTCATCATGGCCGATCACGTGTGCTACGTCGTGCCTCCCCACCTGCTCAAGGCCATCGCCGACGCCGAGTGCAATAGCGAGCATACGCGTCATGCCGCGAGACAGGCTTTGAGCCTCCGCGAGCAGTTCACCACCCGTCGTGCCGAGCGCCTCGCCATCCTCGGTGGTCCTCGCGCCCAGCGTCACCAGCTCTCCTCCCACTCCCGCCCTTCCATCGTCCCTGATATCTTGCTCCAGCACATTGCCGATTCAACGGATGTCGACGATGACACCAGAGCCTGTGCCAAGAGGGATCTTGACCACATAAGAGGTGTTCAGCAAAAGGTTCAACAGGTCCAGCAGGGCGAAGTCGAGGGTCCACAGGACCAGGTCACCCTCGCTGCCACTGCCGGTAAGAAGGACGACAAGTTCTACCGGGCCATCTATGACGCCAAGAACACCGAGAACGAGAGCAAGTTGCCTGGTGATGTGGTTCGTGTGGAGGGCCAAAAGGCTGTCGACGACAAGGCAGTCAATGACGCGTTTGACAATGTTGGCGAGGTGCTGAAGATGTACAAGGAGAAGTTCAACTGGATTTCCATCGACAACAAGAACATGCATGTCATCAGTTCCGTCCACTTCGGTCAGAAGTACGAGAACGCATGTAAGTACTATCCTTCTCTGTTTATCTGGAACTTTTAGGACTACACTGACAGCAAACGACAGTCTGGGATCCAGAGCGTATGCAGATGGTGTTCGGAGACGGCGGAGAGTTCCTGAGTAACTTCACTGGAACCATCGACGTCATCGGCCACGAACTCACCCACGCTGTGACTGAGCACACCAGTCCCCTCGACTATCAGGGAATGAGCGGGGCTCTCAACGAGCACGTTTCCGATGTTTTCGGCATCATCGTGAAGCAGATTGTCGAAAAGGAGGATGCCGGTTAGTGGAAGATGCCCATCACGGCGGTGACATTACTGATAACCGTTATAGAGAGTGCCGACTGGCTCATTGGCGAAGGCTGCATCATGCCCGGTGTCAAGGGCGTTGCTCTCCGGAGCATGAAGGAACCTGGCACTGCCTACGACGACCCGCGATTCGGAAAGGATCCTCAACCAGCTCATTTCAAGGACTACGTTCCGACCTTCGAGGACAACGGCGGTGTGCACATCTACTCGGGCATCCCGAACAAGGCTTTCTATCTTGCGGCGAAGGGCTTTGGCGGTTTCTCGTACGAGAAGGCTGGTCCCATCTGGTGGAAGACCATGAACTCGGGCCGTGTTCCTCCCAAGTGCACATTCATCCAGTTTGCCGATGTGACGACGGAGATCGCGGAGGAATTGTATGGAGATGAGGCAGGCAAGATCGTGAGGGATGCCTGGAACGAGGTCGGCGTGACCAGAAAGGGCAATTAGGAACCGAAGCTGCCACCTGGCTGCAAGCCCATGTAATGCGGTGTTGGGGACAGTTCTTCCAGTCTTTCCAATGAGTAACCCACGAGTATGTCTACGTAGGAACAGAGTTACCTAGAAACCTATCAGAATCGATTTCTCGCTCTGCTGCACCAAGTTCTTTGACTACCATGGTTCCCTCGGGTGATATGGTTAAATCAAGCCACAAGATGCCGGCCGGTGTTTGGAGAATAACCATCATGTTAGATTGATCATTTTGTCCCTTTATCATTCGTCGCCACCGAGGTAGAGGAACATTTCATGACTGTCACGTTCACACTGCATCTGGACAAGAGTGTGTTGAAACCGGCAACTTATATCTACAGAACCAGGTGGCCAAGGGCCTTGTCTGATGCCTTGAGAGAGAAAAGTATTTACATGAATTCCGTACTTCTTCCTAGTACTTTCCAACCGGGGACACAAACATCCCACGGCCGGCAGCGCTGATTGCAGCAATTCTCACACCACTATTAAGGACAACTAATAACTTAGAAGGAAAGGGTCTGGCCGGCGGAGGCGACGACGGAGGCCTTGACCTTGGCAGAGCCGAGCTTGGTGTAGGAGTAGTCGGGCTTGGTGAAGGTGCCGGCAGGGGCGTCGTTGGTGGAGCCACCGAGGTCGACGTCGGAGACGGTAGCGTAGCCGGTGGTCTTGGAGTCGAGGAAGGTGATGGCCTTCTTGACGGAGGAGAAGACGGAGGACTCGACGAGGACCTGGGCGCCCATGCGGGTGTTGACACCGGAGGTGTCGATGCTCTCCTCGTAGTTGTTGAAGATGTGGACGTTTCCGAAGCGGACGGAGGGGACACGGGAGCCAATGTTCTTCCAGTAGTTGTTGGCGTAGGTGACGTAGAGCTTGCCAGTGTCCTCGGCCGAGTTGGAGTCGGAGTGGCCGACGAGGGAGCCCTTGTAGTGGTCGTGGAGGTAGGTGTTGGAGACGGTCACGGCCATGGAGGCGTGGGTGATGTCGAGGAGACCATCGTAGTAGTCCTTGCCGTTGTCACGGTCGGAGGAGAGCTCGCAGTGGTCGACCCAGACCTTGGAGGAGGCCTGGATGCCGATGGCGTCGCCGTTGTCAGCGAGGACCTTGCTGATCTTCATGTTGCGGACAATGACGTTCTCCTGCTTGTTGATGTACAGACCGACACCGGTGAGGGAGGAGCCCTTGGCACCGATGATGGACTTGTTGGAGCCGACCTTGACCTTGGCGGCGCCGGTGATGGCGCCCTTGACAACGATGACGGCCTTGTCGGAGGAGGTAGCGGCGGCGGTGAACTGGGCCAGGGTGGAGACGGTGGTGGTGGTACCGCCGGAGCCACCGGTGGTGCCGGCGCCGTAGCCGACGTCGCAGGCGTCAGTGATGGTGGCGCGCTTCTCGACGGCACGGGGGTCGACGGCGTTACCGCCGACAACGGTGGGAGTCGGGGTGGCGTTGGCCAGAGCGGCCAGGACGGCGATGGAGGAGGCGATGGAGAACTTCATCTTGACTTCTTTTCGTGAATAAGCTGGAGGTGCTAGTTGTGTGGTTGGTTGATAGTGGTTGTAATAGAGAATGGGGTTGACGGTCTACGTCGAACGAAGGTATTGACAGTGAGGTTACTGAGAGAACGAATGCAAAGAGCGCAAAAGAGCTGAAGGACTGAAGAAGTTGGAAGTGAAGCGGGATGGAGATCGAAAGGGTAAGTGAGTATGAGAGCCGGAGGAGGATGGTTCTTAAGTATTCAGAGCCAAGACATCTCTTGGCTAAGCTTCTGTTGCCAAGGGCCAAGACCCTTTCCTTTGGGCTCTTCTGGAGAAACTCGAGCAGGCCTTGTCCTGCAGACTGCAGTACTGTTCATCTCTTCCTTCTCTGGTCCAGTCTGGGAGACTCCCGGAAGGGGGGGGGGTGATGGCTTGCGTACGCGTGCGCATCTTGGCATATCCCTGGTCTTGGCGAGGATCATGGTGGTATTGAAGGCTACGAGCGGGACCCAGGCCGAGCAGTTAGGTAAGGTAGGAGGAGGCTCTCGACGCTTTGGGGCTTGGCACTTGCGTGGTGCCTTGCCTGGGCCTGGACAGGTTGGGCCACATGTTGGGACGTCCTTGGCGGAGAGAGAGTCGTGATGGGTGCACTCGTGAGTGGAGAAACATCTAGAGAGGGGGGAGGGGTGTACGTGTGTGTGGACTTTACACCAAGGTCGGATACAGAGACCACGGGATAGAGTACATTCATTGATCACGCTGCTCATCGCGTCAGGCGCAGGGGATGATGGAGAAAGTTGGCGGTACGAAATACACTACGGATACGGAGTACATAGGGCGGGAAAGGGACAAAACACGACAGAGCTTGTAGTATATTGGACATCAACCTGAAAAGGAAGCAGTGGGCAGAGTAGAAGACCCAAGAAGGTAGATGCCGGTTGCTGGCAGCATGAAGCACGGGCGGCCCAATGTCACGGTGGCAGTGAAGCGGTACCCGGGTGCCCGCGATCTCGAACTTGGAAATCGCACGAATAGACGGGACGGAAAGCCTAAAAGAGGTCGACCATGTGGTGTCACTGGGTGTGCGTGGTGGTGGGCGTGGTACGAGCTGAGAGAAGGTGGTTCGTTTGTCTAGGAGAAACGCAGGCCAGGAGGTGTTTGGTCGATATTCCGCCAAGACACAAACTAAGCCAGTAAGAGCGAGTTGACGTTTGGAAACGAGCCAGGGTATATAGAGGGATGTGGGCTTCGAAATGAAGCCAGGGGATGATTGATGGGATGAAAAAAAGGAAGAAGGGCGGACGACATGTTGCAGGGGTGGTGTGGAGAGCAAGTGAACATGGAGCCATGATGGAGGGAGTCCGAGAACATGGGATGGGTTGTAGGTAGTAGGTAACATTGTGAGGAGAATGCGGATAGACTAGAAGGATTTCAATCATGATTCCTTTTCTTCTGTATGATCTAGTGATCCACGGATACCTCTTCGGCTCTTCCTACTCACGGATCAGATCACGGCAAAAAAAGGGTGACGGGGGCCACTGGGCATCGGATCAGGCCCAGTACCGTGGGTGGAGTTGTCAACCATCGGAAGAAAGAGCCTCAATACTGGTTCCCCGGGGACGACGTCAGTTGCCCGGGTCCAGGGCATCAAGTCAGTATTTTCGGACAAAAGCAGAAGAAGAAAACGCACTCGAGGCCTCCGTACGGAGTAGATGGGTCCCTTCAATTACGGCAGTCGCTCAATAGTGTGGGATGAGCAAGTTTGGGTCCGAAAGGGGGGATGGAGGCAGAAAAAAGGATACAGATAGAAAAAAACGTGCATAGGTGAGCAGAATTTCAGGACTTCCCCCCATACTCTGCAGGTTTGCGGACGCGGTTACAAATTTTCCTCCTAGGGTTTTCCCAGATGAATTCACCGACGGAGTTGAACAACCAGCAACTCCCACTTACCGCAAGGTCCAGTTGTTTAATCGATTTGGTGTATTCCGGGAATGGACAGAAGAAGACCGTAAGACGAGGGCGCTAGCTGGAATGAGGAAGTCATGTCGTCTGGTTGTCAAGGGCTTGAAGGCGTCAGGGGAGGGGGTGTCTGGTCGTTTACGTTGGTTTCCTTTTTCGTCCTGTCGTTCCCACGTTCGGTGGCAGACCCGTCGGCCGGAGGCCGGAGGATGGACTCATGGTCTATTCGTAGGCAAGATGGAGACTGGAGAGAGGAAGTTCTGGGTCGTTGTCGTTGTCGTTGGCTCGGCGGCTCGGGGGTCAACCCACCGGGGTTGAGGGTGTCAGGGATACAGAACGGGAATGGCTCAAGTGGGGTTCATGGTCCCGGCGTATATTAAATTTAAAATCAGGTAGAGTTGTGGGGGCAAGGATCTGTCTCAGATAAGGTATTTCTCCGTCACCTAGCGTCAACTCGTGGCGAGCTTGACTCTTCACTTCAGTATCGACTCTTGAGTCTTGACTCTTGGGTGTGTTGTTACGCGGAAGCTCTCACAAGAGCTCCCAGAGTCATGTCATGCTGGTGGCGCTTGACAACTAGCCAACTCCTTGACAGCTTCGAAAGGCTTTACGCCGGTACTATCTGAGCACCAAGAGCACTTCAGCCAATACATGACACTGGCAGATGGAGTTCGTCCCTGCGCCTTATGCCGGGGCCATCTCAGAGCTTCAGGTTCAGGTTGTCGCACCAGTCAGAACGCCTCTCTCTCTCTTTCTCTGCACAGTCTGCGGCGAGGATGCGTGGGATATGCAGGCTGTCACTCCCGTCATTCAACTGCCAGATTGTCAGCCAACCCTGCCCGCCCGGAGCGTGGCGCTTATTGTCCGCAGCAGCCCGCATTTACGCAAGCACTGCAAGCAAAGGCCTACGGAATGCCCAGTTGGGATACACTCCCCCGCTTCCTTTTTCTGCCTGCCACGCTTGCTCAGCGCTGCCAGCAGACAGGCCAGCAGTTTTGTGACTTGTCGTGAGTGGTCATGGCAGGCTACTCCGTACTGAGGGTCGGAGACATGCAGGTTCTTACTCCCTGAATCAACCAGATCGTGGAGAACATGGTGGAGCTCTTCACGGGATTACAGGAGATTTTTCTTTGCTCCTCCGCCCCCTTTTACCCCCTTCTTGGGTGCTCCCAGGTCATTTGATCTTGCTGGAGAAAAGGAAAAGCGCGGAAACCTGTCAGGTAGTGAACTGCCGGGCCTAACCTCCATAGAAGACACCGGACTGTGGGAAAGCTTGATGTCGTGAAATGTGTGCCGGAGCCGAAGACCAGCAATCCGGACTCGGTTCCCGGATCTCAATCTCATTATTTGGGTTTACTATTGCCTTGAACTATTTCGATAACTCACAGCTATGGATTGATAGCAATTGAGTTCAGCAAAGCCAGAGAAACACCAGCAACCACGTTTTTCTTGCTCCCTCTTCCCGGGCCTGGGCACTGGCCTTGTCGGACGCGCAGGCTGCAGCTGGGGCTCTCGGTTTGCTTGGCGTGTTCCGCAACATTTGGGTGTACGCACCCCTATTTTCTATTGTCTTTCGCCACGATTTGTTAATATGGCCAACAGTCCTGTTTCAACATCGAGTTGTCGGACATGGGCGGCGCGGAGATTGGTGTAGGGAAGTCGCATATTGCACAATATTTTTATTGAGTA